ATTTTTCAGTATTATCAAGTTTTAGTATTGCTTACCTGAAAGTCCCAGCTGGGCAAGAACTGAGGAAAATCACAGTCATAGCAGATAGTGTGTTTAGTTATCCAGGATCACGTGTTCTCCCCCTACAATCTTCTCTGCACACTGAAGATTTTAGGGGGTTTCTGCCCTGTCTGCATGGAAGCTTCTATGTGAGATTTTCATGTACAAGGTGGGAAAATGTGCAGCAACCTAGCCAAAGCCTCCTCCATGCTTTCTGATAACCTGGGATTTTATGCATCTTGCTTTTAATAAGCACCAACACCACAGATGAGAGCCTCTCCAAACTTAACCCCCACCTCCAACACGCACACACACACACACACAGACCTCTTCAAGCTGCTTGATCCCTGGATTTACGGGTTTAGTATTAAGAAAATACTCCTGCAATTTGGGATTAGACCCACAAAAACCCTCCACAACAATGATTCCGTCCATTTGATATCTTGATACTAGTGATCAATCCCTGGCTTTGTCACCTTCGTCAACAGTTTCCGGGGGAAAGCGATGAGATAGATTACAAACTTGTTCATACTCATTTACCCAAACAACATACTGATTTTATTCTTTTTGATTATTATTCATTTTTTTCCCCTCAAGGCCACAAGGCAGACTTTCTCGGGTGGTTGTTCCTCCATTAACATAGATTATTTGGTTATTTACTTGATATGTTGTCAATAGAAGGTTGTTTGAGATATGCTTGTGATTAACTCGGAATAAAACAGGTTTATTTTTTTCTATTATTACACCTTAAATGAAACACTACAATGTTTTTTTCTAATGTGATAGTTAATAGTTTGTTTATTTGTGTTTTACTTCGTTTAACTGTTTTTAAAAGCTCTGCCATTTTTATTATCTGATGGAAATTCTTTGAAGTAAATATTAATGCAACCTAAGTGTGAAACCATATTGGAAATGACTTAACACTCAAAACACTACACCTAATAAATATCAGTGTTTTTCATTACTCTTCAAAGCCAGATTAAAGCGAACGTTTAATTTAATGGATGTTAACATTATTTATTATAAATGTTTCTTTGATTATATCAAGTTTCCATCTCGAGTTTTGCACCTGAATCGTGGTTTTCTCGCTGTAATGGCAGCCGAACCACTCTCCAACTTTCTGACCTGAACTTTTCACTCGTGTCACGTGATGTGGCTTAGATTCGCAAGGGGCGGGCTTTTCGGTGTCAAACTCGGGGGCTGGTTGGTCGCTGTCGTGGCTTGTATAGGCGCAGAGTGCCGTGATTGGCTCGCAGAAAGAAGGCCCGTGTGCTTTCTGGGCTCTTAGAGGCTAGGGCCCTAGAGACGTTCATTAATCTCCATCCGTCAACGTCGGCTGGAGACGAAACGCTCGCGGGAGAGAGAAATAAGGCCTATTTTTTATTTTTAGTTTTTGTTCATTTCTCCGTACGCATTTGTTTAACAGATCGCAGACAGGTGTGGTTTTCACGTGGAGCTTCCGAACCGTTTTTCTTACCTCTGCCAAATAACAAAACAAAACTGCGCTTCATGAGGATATTTTTCTTGAACTTTGGATCTTACTGTTTTGACACTTAAAGGGGATTTTAAAATAAGGAGCCCGAAGAAGGTGAGACTGAAATATGTTCCTAATTTTAATTGTTCTTAATGATCTATTTTTCTTTTTCTCTTCGCTTGTGAACGTGTCGTTCTTTTTCCATTTTGAATATGTAATCGTTTTATCAACGAAAACTATCTTTAAAAGGCAATGTTTTGAACAGATTTAAAAACAAGTCAGTCCATCAAAAATATAATTATTTATCAATGACATATTTCACAACTTTAACAACACAAAACTTTTAAACGTATCAATCGCTCCAGCTAAAAGTTGTTGTTTTGTTCTTGTTTTTTTTTGGGAGGGGTGGTCTTACTTTCTATTCTGTCGGTGGACTTTCAGCCCGCAGCCTTCCAGTTGCTCTACTGATAAGGGCACTCTGCTAATTGTCGCACTGTTGATCTAATCTAAATTGTAATGGAGTTCATTTGCACCCAAGTTTAGCATTTACATTGCGCGGTTTGTCTGCTTCCTGTGGTTATGGAAATAAGTCGGGCTTTATTTGGCGCTTGAGGCCTCAGTTCAGATCCAACAGGAGGCCCGCGGCACCTTCCAGGTGCTGCCAAACGGACCCCAGTGGGTTTTGGAAATTCTCAGCCAATTTTTAGCCCCACACTAATGTAGACTCGAGTTTTACAGAAAAGGAGAAATGAATCAAATCCAACATGATGGATATTCCCTGTAAATTTAGATATGGACGCTTTCTGCATTGTATCATGTCTTTATTGTTATATTTTCTTACCCCAATTTAGGTTATGTTACTTATTTGAACTCATTTTCAGCGAAAAGCAGTAATGTTACATGTGTCAGATGATTACGTGGGCCATTTTGCAC